AAATCACTATATGGTCTCAAACAGGCACCCCGTGCATGGTACACACGCCTCTCCTCTTTTTTGCAGGGCCTTGGATTCAAGTGCTGCATTCATGATACCAGCTTGTTCACCAGACACTGCTCTCGTGGGACTATTGTTGTCCTTGTCTATGTTGATGATATTGTTCTCACTGGCAGCTCTTCTACTCTCATCTCAGAAGTTACTCAGGCCATGCATCGTGACTTCAAGCTCAAAGAACTTGGACCTCTTCATTACTTCCTTGGTATTGAGGTTCAGCGCACGCAAGATTCTATACTTCTCCATCAATCCAAATATGCCCGTGATCTTCTACGCCGAGCTGGGATGTCCGACTGTCATCCGGCTATTACTCCTATGGCTACGAGACCTATCACTAAGCCTTCGTTGCCTTTCAAGGATATTTCTCATTTTCAAAGCATTGTTGGCGGTTTACATTACTTGGCTGTCACTCGTCCAGACATTCAGTATGCTGTTAATCGAGTGTCTCAGACTATGCACAACCCCACTGAGCAGGACTATCATGCCTTGCAACGCGTTCTGCGCTATCTCAAAGGCACTTTGAATCATGGTCTTCTTTTTCGCAAGGGGGGATTCGACCTATCTGTCTACTCTGACTCTGACTGGGCCAATGATAAAGATGATCGCAAGTCTACCACGGGCTACATACTCCTACTTGGTCCTAATATCATCTCTTGGTGCACAAAAAAGCAAACTCGTGTTTCTAGATTATCCACTGAAGTTGAATATCGAGCTATGGCTGCAGGGGTTGCAGAAGCTATGTGGCTTCGATATATCACTGATGCGCTGGGTATTCCTCCGTCCAAACCGAAGTTATACTGTGACAATGAGTCGACTATTTGTGTCACCAAAAATCCGGTTCTTCATGATCGTATGAAGCATGTGGGCACAGACTGTCACTTTGTACGAGATGAGGTTATGGCAGGCACTATGACTCCACATCATGTTTCCTCCTCAGAGCAGCTAGCAGACATTCTTACCAAACCACTTCCGCCAGTTCCTTTTGAGTACTTATGTTCCAAGCTGCCCCTCGTCTCCGTTGATCAGCTTGCGGGGGGATATTAGGAAGTATAATTAAATTAGGATACTTCTTTCCTTTCCTACTAGGATTATTCTTTCCTTTCCTACTTGTACTTTGATTACTCTTGTATTCCCTATATATAGGGCCATATCTCTCAATATTCAATAAGCCAAGTTATTATCAAATTGTATCAGGGGATAATAGGATGTCCCAGATGAAGCACATTGATAATATTCCTTATACCCCTGGGAAAATCAAGTACAATCGAACTAGCTCAATTCTTCCCTGGCCAAGCTGACCTTCTGGTCATTTCTCTACTTGGGGTTGATCTATGTTTTGTTCTCCGGATCACCTTCTTCCTATTCGTCTTCTACTTCCTCCGGACCTTCGGATCTCTCCAGGAGGTCTCTGAGGACCACCTCCTACGGTGGCCCGGAATGGGAGAAGAAGATTAGGGCCTCTGCTAAGGTTAGATCAAGAAATGAGATTTGTGTTTTGGTTATCAGGGCTGCCGTGTTTATTGGGATCCACGTCTCCGCTGCCCTCAAAAGGGCGTGGAGACGGCGTCTTGGGCCTGGATGTGTTCAATGATTACTATGACCCTCCGGCGTCCACATTGTGGAAGGGGACATCAACGATTCTGCCCTCTTCATGAAGCTCTCTGGCATTGTTTAGCTCACACACGTGATGCATTTCGCAGCTCAAGCTGGCGTCCAGTATGCTATGCAAAACCCTAGCTCATATGTTCACAGCAACATTGCGGCCTTTGTTAGCCAGCCTTCTAGAGGTTTGCAAGAGTGTCGATCCTCAGCCTACTATAGTCTGTGCATCCTCTGATACAAATTATCTTGAGAGGTTGTTTCACGAGACACCCAATTCAAAACACAAAAGAATCCATAAAGAAAACAATAAGTAAACGAAAATAAAATTGGCAAAAGAAAGAGAGGAGCAGAAAAGATCCAGCTAAATATAACAAACTAAAGCACCAAGTCTTACACAGGAGTGTATTACACCCAAGGCCTACCTACCATCCTAATCCTCTACTCCACTCTAGACTCATATTAGACCATATTCGCCATGGATAAATGTTCTTAATATCCCTATTGCCCCTCTTAACATCTTTTATTTGGTTAGTGTAATACTCAAAAGTAGTACGGAGATACTACAATATAGAATTTAAGTACAGGCTCTCCTTATCTTCAGAAGATAAATAACAAATGCCAAAGGTGAAAGGTATATGGAAGGGATTTGACAGCAATGAATATGGATCTTCAGGCTATGATAATTCTGGTGAAAAGGTTGAAGCCAATAGTTTAAAGCGTAGAAAGATCACAAAAAAACATCTTTGTGAGATTAATGATCTCAAGTAAGAAGTAACGTCCAAAAGTGAGATATGTATAGGTACAAGTTCAAATCATAGGTAATTGCATAAAATTTATAAATCTCATTCGCAATTTTATTGTGATACAGATGCTATACTTGAAACTCTTATTCTTTTTCTTGCTTAGAGATATTTTTGTTGTTGTGGCTAATAGTCTACTCTCACTTTCATCCATTTAAGTCAATCGAGTTAAATACATTTTGTTGCAGGCTTGGACAAAACTTCAAATATGTATAAAGTTGGCAAAGGAACTACTGATATCCTGCCCGAGTTCTTGAATTTGTACGACGACACCAGAGGCCATATCATTTTTCTGAAAAAAGTGGTCATATCAATTAATATCAAGGAAAACTGAAAGATCTCAAAGTTGGACATATTCCATATTCAAAGTCTCTTAACTCTATTGATGGCATCATCAGCCTTGACCGCCTTTATTAGCTGCGAAAAGGTATTCTCATTAGCATTTAAAATACTCCGTAGAACTCTTTCATCACATACATTAGCATATATTTACACGACTTCTAAATAAATATATTAGCTTCGGGCTATTAGTGTAAGACTGTAAGCATATATCTGATGAAGGTGATTGAGTGCTAAAAAAGGAAATTCGCCTTTCAACAAAACTAATGTCGTTCTCTCCCTTCTCCGGGCACTTGCATATGCCTGATCGTGCTTTTTTTTGCCACTTTTGTCTTTTTGAATATTCACAAAACCGCTTTAAAAGTGCCACTTTCACATGCAACTTCATATTTACATTTTTGTATGGAAACTTACACGGGACGTTACAAATGCACCATTTATAATACTAGAACATAAAAGCTATTTCACAATCTTTTTGTAAACACAAACTCTATATGCATTATCTATTAAAAGACTTAGATCATCTATGTCAAGTTTGGGCACCACTCGCACAACGTGCGTCTAAAGCTAGTAAATAAAATTCTCGCCCTAAGCCCCGCACTGTTCTTCCTTCTTCGATCGAGACCTGCGTTACAGCCGCCTCTCCCTTCTTCTTCGCCAATTGAACAGCAGTGGCGCGCATGGAGATATCGACGACCGGCGACGCCACAACAGTAGGCTCGAGGGAGGCGGCGAGCAGACCTGACTTGGCCCCTCCCTGATTCCGGCGTGGGTGGCAGCAGCGACGGCGACCTCCGCAGGTTCTGGCGATCTGCCACTGCGACGACGTGGACTCAATCCGACGGTGACCGCCACAGTCCGACGAGTTGTGCCTGCGACGGAAGCGGCAGATCTGGTGTAGCTCCACCTCTGTTCCGGCGACTCCCTCCGGCAACGAGTGTAGACAGCGGGGTGAACAACGACTAGGTCCGGCGACGGTCTGAGCTGACCGGGGCAGCAACTCCGATGACTCTGACAGTAGATTGGAACCAGCGGAGGTACTCTGGCGATTGGCCTCCAGCGACCAGCGACATCTGGGCTTCGATTGGATGAGTTCGGGCAGGCTTGGGCAGCAGCGGGCTGGCCGGCGGTTATGCCCGGATGGCGTTGGGTGTTCCAGGAAGTTGTCGACGAGATCGGACATCCACGAAAGTCGTGGACAGCGGAATCGTGCTCCAGAGACGATCATTCGATAACATTCGTTGGAATGTGACGAAGGAATCGAGGTGAGTACGTGGTCATCTAACACTAAAATATGCATCTAGGTTTGAAATTCTGTTCATAATTGTTATCGTGTTTGATCTGTGTGATTTATGTGTATAATTGTTGATCATGGTTTTGGGAATTGTTGTCGTTAAATAAAAAAGGGTAGTATGCATGATTTAGGCGTTGATTGATGAATTAATGTGCTTGATAATGTTTAGAATGTTAATATGAACTCATTGGTGTTTGTTGTTATAAGATTGCTATTGGTTTGATGCTGACAAACGAAACAGGTGTAAATATAGAAAATTGTTGCGTTGGACGGTAGGCGGTACCACTGGGACGGTATCGTGCTACCGTCACACTATGTTGGTTGCTTTCGCCTCTGCCGGTAGCTGCAACCGTACGGTACCTAGGTACCAGAAGAACGGTAGGTCCTATCGCCTGGTCGGTAGTAGGCTACCGTGGCAATCCTACTGGAAGGGCTCATTTGATTCGAACATTACCCCTAATACCGTATGACCGGTACCCAGGTACTGTGAGGACGGTACCATGTACCGTGACAGGTATCGTTTGGTACATGATGCCGGGTCTGTTGTTCTGTGTCTTCGTATAAGACTGAGACGAGAGAGACGATTCGGGAGACAATTCGCTTTACTCAACATCAGTTATCGTGAACAAAACAACGAACTATCCACATCCACAATAGTATGCAAAAAGGCCATTTAACGCTAGAGATGTCGAAAGCAAAACTTGTTAATTTTATATAGATAAACAATAGACCGGGCAAAAAATAACTCGATCTATTTTGACTCGAGGCCTGACCTGAAAATAATGAGTTTTAGACAAGTTTTGCCGACCGAACCCGAAATGACCCGCTAAAAATGGGTCAAATCCAACAGAACCAAAACCCGATCTGACCGACCCGCTGATGTAAGAATATTCCAAAATCATATATTTTAATATGAAATATAATGTTATAGAAATAAGATTCTAATTATATTTCTTTGCATACTACTCGTTTTTTTGTGTATAAATTTATGTTTTCATACAAAATTTTAATGATATCGTATAATTATCTTATATTTTTCAAAATTTCTAGCTTTCTGCATATTTAATTTTTTATTCATAACATTGACAATGTGTTATAAATATTACTTAAAATTTCAAGAAAATTAATGAAACTTGTAACCCGTTGGGTCAACCCAAACCCAAGAATATTGGGTCATGAATATGTAGTTTTCAACCTGAACCCGCAGTAACCCAAACTCAAATTCAAGGTGACCAAACTAGAACACGACCTGACCGATCGGTTTGCCAGCTCTTATCAAAAACATATTTAACAGTACAATTTTTTTTAATTCAAATGATGCTTAAGCTTTATCTAGCTTGAGGACAAGAAAATTGGTGCTTAAGGTTTTATAGGATTCTCGTGAAGTTCTAATCTGATTTGAATATAGTAATATTTAAAGTTAATTTTGATTAAATCTAATCTGATCTGATTTCAATAAAAATAAGTAATACAGAATAAGTAAAAAAAAATGAGTTGAAGAGAGGACATAACCTTCCCCACTCTACCCATTCCATCTCTCCCACGCATTTTCTTCCCAAACACCGCTAACTAGAGTTCTGGCAAGCTGTCTTCTCCACTCCATTTTCCTCACATGCTCACTGACACACATTTCTTCCCGATCACCGCTAACTAGGGTTCTGGCTACCTGTCTTCTCCACTCTTTCTTCCCCACTCTACTCACTCCAACTCACTCACACGCATTTCTTCCCAAACATCGCTAACTAGGGTTCTGGCCACCTGTCTCCCTCACACACTCCTCCCCACTCTACTCCCTCCATCTCACTCGTATGCATTTCTTCCCAAACACGGCTAACTAGGGTTTCGGCCACCTGTCTCCTCCACCCTCTGTGTGCACTGCCTGACTTTCTCCCATGAGTGGCTTGCCATTGCCCAAACCCATTTTGGACGTAAACAAAAACCAGGACATTGTACATTTCAATTAGCGAGTTCCAAATCCAATTGAAGAATGGTAGCGGACAATTGGAGAGTTACGTACGATTGTAACTCAAGGCGGATACGACATTGGTGGCGCAAGAACTACATGTACAAGAAAGGAGAGATGATTTGGAGACAATTCGCGTTACTCAATATCAGTTATCCTGAAGAAAACAACAAACTATCCACATCCATGATAGTATTCAAAAAAAACATTTAACGCTAGAGGGGTCTAAAACAAAACTTGTTAATTTTATAATGATAAAAAACAGAGTAAGCAAAAAATGACTCGACCTGTTTTTGACCCGAGGCCCGACCCAAAAATATTGAGTTTTAGACAAGTTTTGCCGGTCGAACCCGAAATGACCCGCTAAAAATGGGTCAAATCCAACGGAACCCGAACCCGACCTGACTGACTTGCTAATGTAAGAATATTTCAAAATCATATATTTTAATATGAAATATAATGTTATAAAAATAAGATTCTAATTATATTTCTTTGCTTTTTTATACAAAATTTTAATAATATCGTATAATTATCTTACATTTTTCAAAATTTCTGGCTTTTTGCATATTTAATTTTTTATTAATAAATATTACTTAAAATTTCAAAAAAAGAAATGAAACTCGTTACACGTTGGGTCAACCCAAACCCGAGATAATTGAGTCACAAATATATAGTTTTCAACCTAAATCCGCAGTAATCCGAATTCAAATTCAAGGTGACCGAACCTGAACCTGACCTGACCGACCGATTTGCCAGCTCTAATCAAAAGCGTATTTAACCATAGTTTTAAAAACCGGACCGGACCGGCCGGTTCGGATCGTGAACCGGCGAACCGGTGGTCCAACCGGTTCGGTCCGGCCCATTGGACCGTAATGAGCTTCGAACCAGCCCGAACCAGTTTAAACCAGTGAGAACCGGCCGGTCAGACTGGTCCGACAAGTTTTTTTTTTTTTTTTTTGCAAATTTTTTTCCAAAACTTCACTCCATGGGGGTTTGAACCCAAAACCTCTTAACTATTTGGTTGAGTTCTTAACCATTCAACTAACGGTGCTTGTTGTTACAAATTTGTATAATTGTTTATAATATTTCATAATTAATAAAAAGATTGAATAAATATTCCTTTTCAATTTATTTTTATGAGGCATTATGATGCATAATATATCGATACTCAGTTTGTGTTTTCGTAACTATAAAAAAATTATAATAAAAAATTATCATTTAAAATAGAAAATTAAATCATTTTATTGAGTTCATATAATTATATTTAAATCAGTTTATAATATTTAATGAGAGAAATACATAAATATATACTCTCTCTCTCTCTCTCTCAGAGAGTGTGTGTGTGTATATATATATATATATATATATATATATATATATATATTTATTAATATGTTTAAACCACCGGTTCGACCAGTTGAACCACTGGTTCGACCAGTGAACCAGTACCTTGACCGGTTCGGTCACCGGTCCGGTTCTCAAAACTATGTATTTAACAGTACAATTTTTTTAAATTAAATGATGTTTAAGCTTTATCTAGCTTGAGGATAAGAAAATTGGTACTTAAGATTTTATAGGATTCTCGTAAAGTTCTGATCTAATTTGAATATAGTAATATTTAAAGTTATTTCTGATCAGGTCTAATCTAATATGATTTCAATAAGAAAAAAAACAATAAGTAAATAAAATAAGTTGAAGAGAGGACATAACCTTCCCCACTCTACTCACTCCATATCTCCAAGACTCCAACGCATTTTCTTCCCAAACAGTGCTAACTAGGGTTCTGGCAAGCTGTCTTCTCCGCTCCTTCTTCCCCACTTGCTCACTCTATCTTATCACACACATTTCTTTTCGAACACCGCTAACTAGGGTTCTGGCCACCTGTCTCCCCCACTCCTCCCCCACTCTACTCCCTCCATCTCACTCACACACATTTCTTCCCAAACACGGCTAACTAGGGTTTCGGCCACCTGTCTCCTCCACCCTCCGTGCACTGTCTGAACCCTAGTTAGCGGTGTTTGGGAAGAAATGCGTGTGAGTGAGATGGAGTGAGTAGAGTGGGGAAGGAGTGAAAAAGACAGGTAGCCAGAACTCTAGTTAGCGGTGTTCGGGAAGAAATGCGTGTGAGTGAGATGGAGTGAGCAAGTGGGGAAGGAGTGGAGAACACAGCTTGCCAGAACCTTAGTTAGCGGTGTTTGGGAAGAAAATGCGTGGTGGAGATGGAGTGAGTAGAGTGGGGAAGGTTATGTCCTCTCTTCAACTCATTTTTTTACTTATCACTTATTCTTATGTAAATCAAATAAGATTAGACCTAATCAGAAATAACTTTAAATATTACTATATTCAAATCAGATAAGAACTTCACGAGAATCCTATAAAACCTTAAGCACCAATTTTCTTTTCCTCAAGCTAGATAAAACTTAAGCATCATTTGAATAAAAAAATTGTACTGTTAAATATGTTTTTGATTAGAGCTGGCAAATCGGTCGGCTCCAGGTTCGGTCACCTTGAATTTGAGTTCGGATTACTGCGGGTTCAGGTTGAAACTAAATGTTTGTAACTCAATTATCTCGGGTGTGTGTTGATCCAACGGGCTACAAGTTTCATTTTTTTTTTTTGAAATTTTAAGTAATATTTATAACCCATTGTCAATTTTATGAATAAAAAATTAAATATGCAAAAATTTTGAAAAATAAAAGATAATTGTACGATATCATTAAAATTTTGTATGAAAACATAAATTTATACACAAAAAAACGAATAGTAAGCAAAGAAATATAATTAGAATCTTATTTTTATAACATTATATTTCATATTAAAATATATGATTTTGAAATATTCTTACATTAGCGGGTCGGTCAGGTCGGGTTCAGTTTCCGTTGGATTTGACCCATTTTTAGAGGTCATTTCGGGTTCGGTTGGCAAAACTTGTCTAAAACTCAGTATTTTCGGGCCAGGTCT